TCCTCCATTCTCCTCTTGGGATCTTGGGCACGCATGCATACACACCCGGTGTGAGTTTAAGCCACCGGGTCCAGGACTTGAACCACGGTCGACTACGTGGGAGTCCAGCGACATAGCCATTACGCTAACTGCTGGTCCCTCTAGATCAGTTCTTAAAGGGGAGCTGTGGGCCCTTCTCTTCAACTCTCCCCTTCCTGGGCGTGGGAATACGGGTACACCGGAAGACACTTTGCCCATGGCCGAGGGCTCCCCGCAGGAACAGCCAAGCACCAGGGAGTGGGAGTCAGCCCAGGCCTCCACCCTAATCCCCCATTGGCTCTGGACTTCGAGAGACGGGGAGGACTGTGGGTCTTATTTAAGTGCCTCTGCCCACACTAATACAGCCTAGATCTAAGCTTTTTCATCTGTAAAATTGAAAACAGAGATCAGCAAGAAGCGAAGCAGTTATGTTGCTGGATTCCCACCTGGCCGACTGTGGTTTGAGTCCTGGACCTGATGGCTTCAAAGGCATGCTGGGCGAGTGTGCATGTATACACAAGATCCCAGGAAGAGACTGAAGGAGGAGGGATTGCAGTGTGGCCATCCCCTTGAGGGGTGATTTCTCACTGTCTCTGTCTCTCTCTCTCTGGCAAGCTGGCAAGCACACATGCCCTTAGACAAAAAACCTCTCAAAAAAAAAAAAGAAAAAAAGAAAAGAAAACAATAGAACCTACATAGAGGGTGGCGCCGAAACTCAGACGCCAGGCCAGACCGCTGCCTAGGCGTCCGTGCCGGTACAGAGTGCCGCGTCCTGGCTGTGCTCTGCCCTCACCCAGCTGGGGAGCTAGCAGGCGCTGGTGAACACGAAGTGAAACTGAGTGGGGAGTTCAGTGTGTCCAGGGACGGCGGAACAGAGTGGCCGTCAGCTGGACCTCTAGGGCCAAGCAGACAGGGGTGCACCTGCTGCAGGTCTGGGGCACAGTGAGCAAGGGTGGAGGAGGGCTGGCTGTCTGGGCTGGCAAGGAGCAAGGTGAGGGGAGCAGAATGGGGGGCTGCAAAGGGCCTGGGTCTGGGCCTCTCTAGCTTTGGGGACGTGGGATGTGGTGGGCAGGGGGTGGGGCGTTCTTTCTCTGGGGTTCTTGCAGAGAAAGTCCAGTTTTGAACCCGTACAGTGACCACTGCCATCTCCACAGAGCAACGACACACCCAGCTCACATCAGCTGGGCCACTGCAGCAGCCAGTCCACGAGCCCGCGCCCCGAGCCTCAGGCACCAGTCCCGGGCCACCCCGAGCGTCAGCTGCCACAGCGAGCCAAGGGCTTTGTGAAGTGTCTCCTTTGAGCTTCACAACCACCCTGAAGCAGATAGTATTGTGTTTTTTTCATTTACTAGAGGGTGCGTGCACTTGCTAGAGAGAGACAGAGACAGAAAGGGAAAGTGAGGAGGCACCCCCCAGGGGGGTGGTCGGGCCACAATCCCCCCTCCTCCACTCTTCTCTCAGGATTCTGGGCACACACAGGCACCTCACGTGTGTTTTCAAGCCAGTGGTTCTGGGACTTGAACTGCGCCATCGTCCATGCGGCATCTTGCCACTTTAACCACCATGGCTCCAGCTGGCTGGAAGCAGGTATCATTTCTAACACAATTGCAGAGTAGGAAACTGAGGCTCAGGTAGTACCCTACCCGAACACGTGTAGCTCGGAGGTGGCAGAACTGAGGTCCCAACCAAACCTGTGCAGGTCCTCAGTCTGGGCCCGGGGCCACCTGGGAGCAGGTGCAGGATCCCAGCAGGTCAGAAACACCTGGAGGTCTAGGATGCGGACTGAGGGCCACAACCCCAGAGGTAGGAGTCAGCCCTGGGACCAGACTGCTGACCTGTGGCCACACTTGGAAGGCCACTGCCTTGGAGCTCACTATTTCTGCTTTGCTCCGAAATGTCCTCCAGCTAAAGGGACCTGGCTCAGGCTTCCAAGAAGCCCTCCAGAGTTACTGCACTTCCAAGGTCTGCAATGGAGGCAAGAGATTCATTCATTCATGCAAACATTCATTCATTAATTCAGGGCACAGCTGTCTCCAAGTTGGAAACCATGATAGAAGCAACCCTCGTGGCTCGGTCTACAGGGTGAGTGAGGCCACCCCCTGGTCCCCAGGAAGCTCAGCGGGTAGCATGCTGCATCTCCAGCTGGGCCGGACCCTGCACACTCACACGCAGACGCGCTGTCCACTCGGCCCCTGCTATGAGCACTGAGCCCCAGTCTCTGTGGTTCCCCCCACGGCTATGCAGCCCAGTTGCAGACCAGAGGCTCTGAAGCCACACCCCACTCTCGGAAACCTCACCAAGTTGGGACCCCAGGCCATCTGGGGTTAGGGACCCAGGCTCTGGGCCAGCCACTGTGCTCAAGCCCTGGCCCCAGCTGCCCCAGCACTTAACTTGCCGAAGCTGCTTCCTCGTCTGTGGAGGGGATCATAAGCCTGCCCTGGGGAGCTGTCTGAGACAGTCATTCGTTTGACAAGCCCTGAGCATCCGCTCTATGCCAGCTGCCATTCTAGGGGCTGGGGACAGGGCAGTGACCAGACCAGACAGGAGACCCACTCCGTGAGCTGAGGGCCAGGTGGGGAGACGTGGCAATGACCAGGGCTCTGGAGCCAGACGCTGCAGTCTGTGCCACTCCCCCCACTCACAAGCTATGTGACCTGGGATAAGTTATCGAGCCTCTCTGTGCCTCAGTGTGCTCATCTGTTTACTAAGGCCCACAGAAGGGGTCGCTGTGAGGGTTAGGTAGGTTAATAAATAGGAAGGGTTGGGACCAGCAGGTAGCGTAATGGCTATGTCGCTGGACTCCCATGTAGTCGACCGCGGTTCAAGTCCCAGACCCGGTGGCTGAGGAGAAAGGATTGCGGTGTGGCCATCCCCCCTGGGGGGTGATTTCCTGCTTTCTGTCTCTCTGTCTGTCTCTGTCTGGCGAGTACACACGCCCTATAGCAAAAAAACTCTCAAAAATAAATAAATAAATAAATAAATAGATAGATAGATAGATAGATAGATAGAAAGGGCTTCACAGAGTGCCAGGAAAGAGTAAGTGGTATTTGTCTCAAAGTTAAAGATTAATTTGGACTAGCCCTATAGCCTCGTGGTTAAGGCAGCCAGATCCTGGTTCGAATCCCA